CACGAGCCACCAACAAACGTGAATCATTGTGAATCCTCTTCCTTCGAACCGGTTGCGAGTCCATGATTTGGGGGTTGTTCTGGTTTCCCGGTTTCCCCCTTGACTGATCATCACCGGAGCTCCTTGATTGAGCATTGACGGAGCATATCCGAAAATGGTGGTGCCCCAAAACCATTGGTTTCCCCTAAAGTAACGATCTGTTTTGCATTGTTTTAGGGTCCCCGTTTTGTAGAAAACACCCCCGCAATATGATTTCAACGGCCAGGTCACCGCGTTCTCCGCTGGATTCTGAGCGCGGGCATTCGGCACTTGAATGTCAGGGTGGCCCAGAGCTTTGCGGATGGTATGGCGGAGTAGGGGGGCCCTGTGGGTACAGAGTAGGGTCTTTCCTGAGTGACCTTAGTTAGTGGATGTTTGTGGTTGCGAAGTGAACATTTCAAGGTGGCCATTCTTTTTTGCCAGATCATTTTTGTTCAGCTTGAAGCTCGCGGAGCTTGCGCTGAAGAACCTTTTGTTTGAACCACATGCAATAACTTTGAAGGATTTAGGTATGCTGGTGACCTTGGTTTGTCTCCATGTTTGTCTGCTATTCCTCCAATTTCCTCCAAGTGTAAACAGTGGCAGCTCCAAAAGGATGAATACAAATGGAACCACTGCTGCAGGCGTTGGCAGCTGGGACGGAGCTTCTTCGAATGGGGCAGCTGTGCAGCAGTTCTTCTAATGCGGGCGGTTGCACCTCAAAGATTATCACAGATTGCTGTCATGTATTTCTGAACAGATATGTGAAGATTCCATGTTTGATTATATTTGCTTTGATCAATGCTGATTCATGTACAATGGTTCATTATACCCGCAATAGACAGAGTTGGAACCTTCTTGTCCTGGCAGTGAGTGGGACCAATCAGAAACACAAAGTTTGTGCACATGTAGAAGAAAAGCAATCCAGACACTATAGATTTATACAATATATTCAGGAATATTCAGGTGATCTCTTTGTATTATACACATAAATATTCTAGGGAAGTTGAGAAGTCAAACTTCCGACAATATGGACAGATGGAAAAGCAGAGGTGGGAAGAGTCAGAGAAGAGAAGAGAAGAAGAGAGAAGATCAGAGCAGAGAAAGAGTCAGAAGAAAGAAGATGCAGGTGCGCGAAAAGGTAGCAAAGTCGCGATTCACTGTGTTTTTCCAATGATTTGTGGCTCCCGAGGGTCAAAAAGTAGGCTCGCTAAAGCGGCGGGTGTGGAGGCATGTGGCCAGATGCGAGATGAAAAATTGCACGCCTGACAGTCGTCTCGCCCCTCACCAGCACAGGGCGACCTCTCCCCCGCGCGGCAACCCACGACGGGACCGCATTGCAGCTGGCACGAGCCCGCAAGCACCGTCGGTACCCAGAGCTGCTCCGCGCCGGAGGCCACCGCTTCCTCGTGCTCGGCGCCGAACTCGGCGGCCGCTGGGACCAGGAGTGCCACGATCTCGTGCGCCCCCTCCTCGCTGTGCGAGCCCAGCGCGAACCAGCGGCCATCCGGGCAGCCGCCATTTCTGGCTGGCGCCGCCGCTGGTGGGCGGTCCTCGCCTGTGCGCTCCAGCGTGCAACAGCCAGCACGTTGCTGGGCGGGGTGTGGCTGGCTCCGGCTCAAACCACCGGCACCGCACCCACTTTGGCAGCCGTGCTGGACTGGGCTGACCCTCCAGCCCTCAGCCGCTTGCCGCTGCGCTAGCTGTCTCACCCGTTTCACCCGCTCCCGCGCCACAGAGCCGGGATGGAGGATTGTCGCCGCCATGGGAAGGGATGGTTGGGTTATATTGGAAAAAAAAAATTGCACGCCGTTGTGGCGCGAAGATGCGCGAAGCACATGTCCAAGTCAAAATGTACAAAGCACACCATGCTCGGACCACTTTTGGAAGTTGAGATGTCGAAAAGTGCACGCCGTTGTGGCGCGAAGCACATGGACCACTTTTGGGCGCTCAGATGTCGTTTCGCGTGGAAAGCGCAAGGGATTGTGCACCTTGTCAAAAGTGAGCAAAACGTGAGTGTTTTCTAGCATTTCCAAGAACGATGGCAGGCGTGGGACATTTAGGGGGATCTGGAAAGATGCATTTCGCGTGGCAGGCGCAGTACAAGAGACATGTTCATCAGAAATGTTAGGAGGTCAGGGCGCTGATTTCCTCAGAGGGGTTGCATTTTGGAGCATCAGATCTTCAGTTTTGGGAAGGTGATTTTGTGTGACAGGTGCAGCACTTTGTATGACCTGGCATCACTTTTTGGTGGCAGGCGCAATACTTAGAGACGTAGACCGGAAAAATCGCACAACGCATTGGTACGAGGCCGTCAGCTCTGCACTCAACTTTCCATTATTGAAGGAAGTCTCGCAGAATTGCTTCATTTTTGATGTTGTTACCTTCGAAAAATGAGGAAGTCCAGGAAGTCTCGCAGAATTGCTTCGTTTTTGCTCTTGTCAACTTCGAAAATTGAGGAAGTCTCGCAGAATTGCTGCGTTTTTGCTGTTGTCAAGTTCAAAAAACTGAGGAAATCTCGCAGAATAGCTTCGTTTTCAAGCTTGCAGCTAGGCAGATAGATAGATAGACAATTACAACTACAACTACAACAACAACAACAACTACTACTACTACCACTACTACTACCACTACTACCACTACTACCACTACTACCACTACTACCACTACTACCACTACTACCACTACTACCACTACTACCACTACCACCACTACTACCACTACTACCACTACTACCACTACCACCACTACCACTACCACTACCACTACCACTACCACGACGACGACTACTACTACTATCACTACTGCTACTCTACTACTACTACTACTATTACTACTACTACTACTACTACTAATGCAAATGCAAATATTACGCTAATTACACTACACGAATTACAGCACACGAATTGCACTACACTACGCTAATTACATGTAAGTACACCACACTACATTAATTGCACTACAACTACAACAACAACTACTACCACAGCTACAACTACAAGTACAAGTACACTGCATTACACTACACTACGCTAATTACACTGCAGCACGCTACAGCTACAAATGCAAATGCAACTGCAACTACACTACATTACACAACATTACGCTCTATTAATATTACATTACATTGCATTACATCACATCACATTACATCACATCACATCACACTACAACTACAACTACAACTGCAACCGCAACTGCATCTGCAAATGCAACTGCAACTAAGTACACTATATTACACAACACCAAGCTACACTACAAATACAATTGCAAGTACACTACTTTACACTACACTACACTACACTATATATGCTGTACCACACTACAGTACACAACACTACAGTACCCTACACAACACTACACTACACTAATTACACCACACCACAGCTACAACCGCAACGGCAACTGCAACTGCACTACGCTAATTATATTATATTCCAATATAATATAATATATTATCTTATATTATATTATATTATATTATATTGTTTTTTATATGTTTTTATTATATTACAAAACTACCACTACACTACAACTACAACTATAACTGCACTACACAACACTACATCCAGCAGTTGTGGTGAGGTGATCACTGCAACCATTGCAACCACTCCAAAAAACACAACTCCAACCACCTTTCGGTCCACCAGTGGATTCGCTCTGCCATCCATGCATCACAACAACAAACCTTTCCTATAGGTTTCCTCTTTTTGAAGCTTCCGCCGCCGCTTTGGGCGGTGCTGGAATAAAGAATAAACGAACAGACAAACAAATAAAAAATGAAAGGATATATGTGAATATATATATATATATGCGTACATATATATATATATTTGTGTATATATATATATGTATATATATATATATATACGTTGACGATCGTTGGCGTAATAGCACCTTATATGCTGTAGCCACTTGTAACTTCTATCACCGTGTTCTTGTTCCATTGTGAAACATGTATCATGCAGGAATGAGGAAACGCAAAGCTGAAAAACCTTCCGTCCAAGCAGCTGCTCTCTACATATTGGGAATTCAGACCCATCATTACATCATTGTGATTCATTGTGTTGATTTCCTGCAAACCCATCACCCCAGCTGACGGATTGATTGATTGAGTGTGGCCGCTTTTCGTTTTTCCTTATATTCCCAATGCCTTTCTAAAAAAACCCGAGGGCTAACGATGGACCCATTGGATTCCATACGTCGCGTGATACTTCGCCTTCCCATAAGGTCTTTTAAGACGAGTGTTCAACCGGGTTGGCCTGCCACAAGCCTCAGACATCAGCACCAGGGCGCCAGGGATTTTAGTGGCCTTACGGTAATGTCCAGTAATTACTGGTTGGGATGGTGCGAAACAATGACCAAGTATGTGGAAATCAGTGGTCACTTGGCCCAGCATGGACTGCCCCTAACGCCAGTCGTGCCCTTTTCCCTGCAGTTTTGAAAAAAACAAGTTTGATGACCACGAGTAAAATTCATACAATCTCATACAGTTGGTCTGACTGCGTTCCAGCATATGCCTCAATTGTGATTGTCATTCTTCGATATTTGCAGAAGGCAGCAAGGAAAGGCCTTGGATATTTGTTACCATCACATTGGGAGCCAATTGGGAGCTGTTTGGCCCAAATTTTGATCCCTTTGCAACTGCCTGCAACCGCCTCTTGGCTTTACTTTATTCTGAAACTACTCGTGTGCAGGCTTTGCCGCTCCAGAATAGTTCAGAGCTTCATGAATTTTCCAGCTCTTAGGTCACCAAAGTAACCCTGGTATACCATGGCTGGGAAATCATGGGGCACTGTATATTCTAATCATTAACCATCATTAATGAAAATACACTGTTAGAAACACTAACCGAAACACTAACCATCATATTCTAATCATTCACCATATCCTAACAGTGTTTCTGGTGAAGCATGGTGAAACCCTATGTGGTGCCACGTGGTGCCACCCATGGTGCCTAGTCACAAGGGGGACTTGCGAGGATGGCAGAGTTGCCTGCAGTTCTGGGCAAGCCCTTCCAAGCAGGACTGGAAAGGTATTGCCGCATTGAACCACCGCAGCTTGGTGGCAGCCAACAACAGGCAGTGGCTCAAATCTCTGATTACCTCAACAAATGATCTTCCTTAACCTCAGATCTATCAGGTCTTCTCCGCCTTAGATCCACTCAACTTCACATCTTCCTTACCTCACAGTGACTCAACTTCATGCACATCTTCTCAACCTCACATTTGCACCAGCTTCACATTTTTTCAATCCCGCATTCACCCAACTTCACACCTTCCCTACCTCCTATATTCTGAACGTAACGTTCACTCAACCTCACATTCCCCAAGCTTTCATTACCTTGAGCACTCAGCCATATTCCCTCAACCTTACATTACCTCAACATCACGTTACTTTCCTCTACATTTTTCAGATATCCCCAAGCCCATAGAGACCTGTTAATAGAATGCTGCAGTGTTGGGCACTCTTGACAATCCCATATATAAAATAATATATATTATATATAATATATATTAAAACATAAATGTATATATATAAATAAATACTTGCAGTGATTGCAGTGGTCTATATATTTTGTCTTTTACTACTCCTTGCTTGAACCGATTATATAGCATGGTTATACAGTTACGTTGTGTTCCAATATGCCTAGAATTGCGAGTGAAACAGCATCATACAACATCAAAACAATGCTTGGACTTCTATCAATGATGCTTTGCCCCTGAGGCTTCGCAAAGAAGAGCTGAAGGAGTTGAATGCGTTGCTTCTGTCCAAGGGTACTCTGAATACCAGCCCTTTGGCATCCTTTGGCTATAAAGTGTCCTGAAATAAAAAGGCCACCTATGATATCCGGATATGTCCAGATATGGCTATGGATCAATACCTATAAGTACCATTTTTAGGGTGATGAACATCCATTTACCAGCTATTTTGCAGGGGTACTATTGGTTTTGACCCATCCCCATATCAATGGGATGATTGGTGGTTGCGGCCAAAATTCAAAGAGAGCCCCAAGCGCAGTTTCCGCCGTGTACTGAGGTAAGGCCAAGTGCATCGGTAAGGACTGTGCGGAGTCGCCCATGAAATCGTTACTGTTTTCTTCCAACATCATCCATGAAGACATAGACATCGTAATGACGTAATGGAACATTTAAGTTGACAAAGCGGGAGATGTTTAAGATTGTTTAAGTGTATAGGGAAACTACGGGGCATCACCGTCCCATACTTTGACCCGCTTTCAGCAGGGTTGCTGCAGAGTGATGTTCGTTGAAATGCAGCCATCGAGCCTAACATTGTGAAAACACATGCTGCAGCATGCTGAAATATAATATAATGGCTTCGGTCAAGTGTCTCAATAAGCAATCTGCACAACAGTCTTAGACCCTGCCACATTTTCTTGCAGGGGTCCATCCAAACGTCCACGGAAAAAATCATCACATAACAATAATAATATAGTAATAATAATATTATATAGTCAAGTGATTTAGTCACCTATCATCACTTGTTTTAGTTACCTATCTATCATTCAAAACACGCCCTGCTGGGTCGGGGTCATGGTTCTAAGCCTGGAGCTCGCGAAGAAACTTGAGCTGGCGCCAGCACTCACCGAGCGACATGCCAGGGTGGGTGACAGGACGTCATCGCTTGCCGATTCGGACTGGGTACGATGTGGTAAGATTTGGTCAGATATGGAGGTTTCCAAAGTCATGGGCTACCAAATGCCCAAATATGCCCACATCATCCATTGATACGGCCCCTTATAATGGACGCATTTTAGGTGTACCGGTGTGCCCCCATGATCCCCAATGGAAACCCCTGGTCAGATTGTCAGCCTCGCACAGTGGCTCGATACCAAAAGGGATCAACAAGTTGTGGCTTCATGGCTCCAATTTTTCGACCCATATCCATATTACCATCTGGTTATTTAACATAGCCATGGAAAATCACCATTTGTAATAGGTAAACCATCTATAAATGGGTCATTTTCCATGGCTATGTTAATTTACCAGAGGGTATCCATATTTTACCACCAGATATGCAGCGAAAAGCACGGTTTTAACATGTTTTAAATGGTTTCTGATGGATTTCTCAGCACTTTCTGGGCAAAGACGGCAAGGCTCCCAGATTGCCACTTCCGGGTGCCAAACCCGCCAGGAAATCCATCCCAGATGTGGATATCGTCGAGGACTCCTCGCAGCAAGGTGCTGATGAGAACTCGGCTGAGAACTTGGACGTGCCATGTCAGTGAAATGGCTTTGTCTGGACGTGGGGTGTGGATGGGTGTTGGATAAATGGGGATACTAATAACCCACACTAACAATGGCAAAATGGCGATGGAGAGAGAGAAATAATGGCAAAATATATAGATCAAAATAGATCAACATAGCAAAGAAATGCACAGAATGTGATGTGCCCTGACGATCCATGCATATATCAATAGGGTCAAACCGGAAATGTAGGTAAATAATGAGGTCATTTTTGATGCTCGATAGTAATGAAGGCATTGTGTGAATACGACAGTGGGAGATTACGTTATTGTATTTTGTCGGAAACACGCGCGAGACAAACGGTGGCAAACCGTGACCGACCGTGACAAGATGACATTTCACTTAAATCCTGGGTACTGGCGGAAACTGTCGAGACTGACCGTGACAGTCCGTGACAAGGTTGGCGGCGGTGGCAAATCATGGTCAGAAAAGCAGAGTGTAAATATCATGATCAGACAACCTGAGAGCGTGAGTACCCAAATGCATGCAACTAATCCATACTGTGGATTTTCGGTATATATATGTATATGTATATGTATATATATAAATATATAATATAGATAGATTAGATTGATTAGATTGGATTGGATGGGATTAGATTGATAACTAGATGGATGGATGGATGGATGGATGGATGGATGGATGGATGGATGGATGGATATATATATACAATTATATAATTATATATATATATACATTTATATCATAGCAGGAAAAAATAAAACCATGATGTCTTGAAGCCATGGACATGGCCGTCCTGAGGTTTGGGTTCATAGCCATTTCCATGCAAAAGGCGGCCAAAAGAAAAAGGCTTTGCAGGCCCTGTCCAAGCACAAAGTGGGAAGTGTTCATCAAGTCCCTGAAGTTCAACAGAGGCTTTGTCAGAATTCCAGGAATGTCTGAATATGAATAATTGTTGAGGATTGTTGTGAGTGAGTAATATTATGTACGCTATGTGAAAATGTGAAAAGAGATTTGGAGGGCTACTGGGGGCATTGTGGGGGCACCAAGCAGAGTTCTTTTGGGTTTCCTCTCATGTTTGAGTGGTGTTTCTCTGAAGGATCTTAAACTTCTAGGAATCCAATAGGGCCACAGTACTCTCTGACAACAAGAGGGCCGAAGCGAAGACGAAGAAATGCCATAGAGAGAGGAGGCCCAGTGGCGTCATGTGTTGACTTGCTTCTGTAGCATTAGAGTGGATGTTCTAGTATTTGATATTTAGTAGTTGGCCAGTCAGGCCAGTCATAATCAGTCATATCCCAAAAAGCTAAAACAATCCTAAAAGATCAAGAAGGAGGCATGCGGGATGAACTGACCATTCTTTGTTTAACAGATTCCAGTTTGACCCTGGTGCAAGCAAGGATTTGCAGCAGCACCAGTCGCATCAGTGTCAAACTGGAGAGTCTTGGCAGAGGCTTTGGTCCCGGTGGCAGGTCAAGGGTAGGTTGCAAAGACGCCATTCAGGCGACCTACACTACTGTACTCAGTACTGTGAACAGTGAAACCGGCTGGCAAAAATGAACGTCTTCTCAACACACACACACCAATATAAGAATACACATTGAACACATAATATATTATTATATAAATGTTATCATATAGTTTTTTTTTAAAAATTGTCCACCATCAAGATTTTAGCAGATGAAGCATTGTTTCAGGTTGTATTTTGGTGTCCTCCAGCAAGGTACTATCGCGACCATCTCGAACAACATGAGCCTTTGCTTCGCAAAGTCGAGGAGGGCTTCATGTGTCAGGAGCTCCAACTGTTGTGGTGACGTTATTGTTGACCTTATCAGATAATGCTCATTCCATCCCGTTCCAGCAGCTTCGCTGGACATGGATCCATGTCCTTTCTGTAGTTTTATTTGTATCTCAGCTTCTCTGGGTCCTCATTGTCCAATCCTCATCCCATTATGGTGAATCAGTGTACTCTATGGTGGTTTGGTTCTGTCATATTTTTGTTGATCCGGATATGTCCGGATCCATAGTGCACATATTAACGACAAAACTTAAACCTTCATTGATCATCAAAAAGCAGGCTAGACAATCATATATCCAACTAACATCAACTAACAGGTTTGCACATGGGGTCACCCAGTGACCCATGTCATCCCTCCCCAAAATGGTTTTCCCAAGCCCTCCAGGAGTCGGGCACCGGTGAACCCATCGTCAACGTGGCCAAGCTACGTGGCGCCAAAGGTCGACGCTCGCGCTCACCGTCGCCCCGTCCTAAGAGTCAGGGCACAGAGCCCCCGGAGCGCGCAGCAAGTGCCAGGAGGGCACCCGCGGGTGAGCCATGGTGAGCCATGGTGAGCCATGGTGAGCCATGGTGAGCCATGGTGAGCCATGGTGAGCCATGGTGAGCCATGGGTGTAATCGGATGGGATAGGGATGGATAGGGGGTATTAGTGGAATATCGTGCATGTGGGCAAAAAAAAAGGCTTTGCATGGACACCATGATAAAGAGATGATTAAGGATCCTCCTGAGCATTTCAATCGAAGAACCCTGATTGTCGCAAAAGGGTCGTTCGAGAAAGTCACAACTTCAATGTTGATGGTGATTGATGTTGTTTGTCGGGTTTGCGGCCTGTTCGGGTACTTGGGCATTTCACTGTACTTAAGGGAACCCTGTAGATTTCGCCTCACTCTGTGCATCCTGAATGTCAAAGTGTTGGACTTGATAATTTTTTTGATTATTGCTTCAGATTCTTAAGGGTGGCAATTCGATCCTCGTGAGGTGGCCCAAAGGGCAGCCGTGATTAGGCACTTGACACCTGTGGAAAAGGTGATGAACTGAAATCAAGCTTCGTTGCTCCCAAGAGGTTTGTGGTTATTTTATGTTATTTGTGGAAGTTCTGTGAATTGTGAAAGAAATCAATGGCATGGAAAGGCCATGAAAGGCCCAACACCAATCCTTCCAGCAAACCTCTCACCCGCAGGACGCAAACAGCTGCCTCAGGCATCTCCGCGGTCGAGCGTTCCATGGCACGTCGGGAGAGGATTTCCACGGTGCTGCGACGAGCACAGTTGCTACACCTCGAGAAGCGCACGGAACACGCCTGGCGTTTGCACCTGCAGAGCCTCGACCAATGGATGGTTGGGCGCTGCTGGATGGGGCCCGGGTCTGGGATTGGGATTTGGTATGATTTGGTCAAAGGCCCGATTGGGGAACTGTCTACGCCTCAAGCAGACGAGATTCTTCTTTGGTCGCCGTGGAAGGATTAATTACTGTACCCATTTCCATTGGTTAGAAGAGTTTAGAAGGGAAAACACCACTCCCATGACTCCCATCAGTTCTTTAGTTTTTTTCTTGAACGGTTGTTTTTTATGTTTTTTTTTTTTACGTATGGTGTTCTCAACATGCCAGCACCAACACCAGGCATAAGCGTCAAGAACGAGCCCATCGGGAGCGCTTTTGGCTGAAGGTTATGGAAGCAGTTGCTGCCTTGGCCGCTGTGCAGCGAATCCAGGTGGGGTGATCGGTGAACAGCTGTTCAGTTGGGGCATTGTCCCAAGGGGCATCATAGATATCACAGGGATGTCCTATCATTTCACCTTTCGTCACATTTCAGGTGAGAAGGACTTTTCGTTTGGCCTTCTCCTAGCAGCACTAGTAGCCTTTTGCAATTCCAGCCCTTGTTTGCTGCTGCCGATCTTGTAGCATATAATTAATGTTTAAACTCATATGCAGTACCCCTCAGACGGCTTCTAGCTGTGGAAAGTGGTCCGACAGGTCTTCTGGGGCATGGCGAAGGCCGATTTCGCTGTCTGCAAACTGGAGGGCCTTCCGGCGCTGCCGTGGCAGAGCCCAGCGATCTCCTGTTGCCCTTTAAGATCACAACACCTGGAGACGTTGAAGGCGAGGATCCTTCTGATGCAGAAAGAAGAACGGAAACGGCAGCGCCATGAGGCCATTTGGAAGGAATGGAAGAAACTTCTGCGCAGCTTGGTGGTTTATGTCAAATTTCGCCTACCACTCCGCAAGACCCGCTCCATTGACACCATCAAATCCTTCATGGAGGTCTCGGCCCGACCCTATATGCTCCGTCGCACCGTGAAGAATTTCGTGAAGTCGGTGCTCATGGTGCAACGGGCCTTGCGCCACCAGGCGCACATCTTTCGCACGCTACAGAAACGCATCCTGCAGCCCTACGTTTGGGCCACTGAAACCCAGCTGCTTTGCGATGCCTTTCGGATGCGCAGGGCTGAGGCTGCGGCACGGATTGAGGCCTACATGGAAGACATGAAGTTGAAAGAATGGGAAACTGGAAGTGAACATTGAAAGATATTGAAAGCTTTTGAAGCAGTTGTCATAAATATGCTATGTTTTTCCATGTTTTTCCATTGCTTTCATATCCCAGGGGGTTTGAGGTGGAGTAATTAATTAGCTGCGATAACAAACGATTCATGTGGGATCATGTGGGTATATTGGTGATGATTTTGTAGAATAGTTTAGCAGCTCAAGATCTGATGTTGCAGAATCAGGGGATATCTGGAAACCACCATTATGTTCCACCACCATCCACCACCCAAGGAAAGGGACGTGAAACTGATGTGGGTGGACCGTGCTCATGTTTGGCGAGAAGGTTGCCAAAGATTTCGGCCACAGCTGTCCAAGCACAGCCAACATTCTTTCGATGGGGAGAATCCTTCCGTGCATTTGGAGGACCCAGTATGATACCTTCAGCATCCTTCAGCGACCTCGTATGTAAAGCCTCCGAAATATAACACAATTCTGCCGGCTCACGGGAATTGCCAGGTCCCAGTTGTTAGGAAATGGATGGAACTGCGCATGGTTTTGGCAAGAAGATCTTGGTTTTGGATGGTTTTGGATTGAAATGCGATATGTCAGTATGACAACATCCTCAGATTCACGCGTTTGCACGGCTACTAAGTTACTAAGTACTATCACTACATATCACTACCTACCAGCGTACCACCACTATGTTTCAGCCCTGCATGGTTCACATATTATATCATATCTAGATCATATAGTCATATAGTACACAATATTAATACATATGACATTATATACTATATACCAAATTCATGCCAAAACATACATTTTTTTTAAAAAAAAATATTTATGATTGTATATATATAAGATAATACATTGGATACATGGTTTGGATATGTTAGGTTTCCCCACCAGGTGACATCCAAATTTGGCTCAACCCATCCCTTCAGGAAGATGCGCCCGTGCGTCACGTGGTCTCCGCTCCTGCGCGCCCGCGCCAGACCAATACGCGCGGCTCACAGATGCAGAAGACCCTGGAGATGATGCAAGCGCAGGGCACAGCTGGACGCAAGACCTTTAGCCTGAGGACTGATATGAGAAAAAGATGGAACAAGTGTGACACAAATATGACAAAGGAATGACATATGAATGACATATGCAGAACAATGTAGAGATGCATAGACTTCTCGGCAATTGTGATGAAGGGCCTTTGTTGATGTGGATGATGCCACTTAGACATACTTAGGCTAGCAAGGAACAACTTCCTTTTTTTGTCCATGGCACCAGCAGGAAATCGCTGAATGGCCGGAAATTCTTGGTGATGGACACCTTACGAATGGACCCACGAGACTGCGAAGAGATCACGCGACAGATGCTGTTGAACAGCGTGGATGCATGGTGGGCCCAATACAGAAGCCGGGTGGCACTGACATATCACATATCAATGAGTATCAATGCTGTATATCAAAGCCTCACTCAGGGTTTTTTGAATGTGTTGAAGGTGCTCCTGGGCCGTTGGGGGTTAGTGTTCAATCCATGCTGGTGCGGTGAATTACAAGAGGTGGCCATCTCGGTTCGGGTATCACTGGTTCGAGTGAAACGGTGACAATGCACAGGTGCGACATGGTAAGAAATGTTAGGACAATACAGAACGAAGCCAGCAGCTCTCAAAAAGGCCCCCTAAAATCCTCGAAAATCATTGGCTGAATGTGTCTCTTCCAAAGTCTTAGGCTGTTAGAGACTCCCAAGAGCTTTGGTTTTGAATGGTTTTTATCCGTTGGATACCCGCACTCTACCTAGTAAACCTAGTATATCCTATAGTATTGCATACATTTGCATACTATCGACTTTTGGCCCAGGAGTTTACAGATCAGCGGAGCCCATATCAATGCAGAACTGGATCAACTGGCGGCAAGACTTTGTCCGCCGACCTGATGCATTGGTTTGGGACCCACCCGAGGCGCGTTTTTGCTCTGGGCGTTGAAGACGTGCACCTGCGGCAAGGAAAACTATGTTCTTAATAAGAAGACAATAAGTATATATAAATATACTGTCAGATCACTGTCAGATTACTGTCAGATTACTGTCAGTATTGTGGCTTCAAAACTTCAAGCGGGAAGTTGATAAGCAGGCACCTAAACACTCGTACAACCTAGGACCTAGGGCGAAAAACTTGGGAAAAGCATAATAGGTTAAACATGGGAAATTTCGGGGTCTTGTGCCTCAAATTTCGCTTCCCGTCTCCTGGCCAGGTTCTGAAATATCCAGAGATGTCCTTTTCACCTCAGGGCTACCAATGGCTACACAAAGAAGTTGAGACGCGGCTGAGGGAACACCCCGAGTTTCGCAGCCTCATTGGTGAAGGCTTTTAGACTTATCAATGTTTCTCCGCTCTCAGAGCTCCTGAGACAAGAATAGAAGAGGTCCTTCAGAATGTGGTCCCGACATGTTAGACCACCTGTAAATTAAACACCATACAAGATATTACATGATGCATGGTATATATATATTATAGGGTGTATAACTGTGTATATAGTATCCATTATTATCCTACATCACACACGGATATGTATATGCATATGCATTATATATATACACACACTATGTGGCACATGTACATGATATTGATATTAATAATTAATATATCATTGTTGATGATCAAGCCAGCTTACTGTAATTCGTTGTTTTTCTCCAAGGTATTTTTTTACTATGATTTGAAACCAGTCAGTCAGGAGTAGAATCCCCATTGTGGGGCTTGTGCTGGGCTTCAAACGTAGCTGGCAGAATCTTGCAGAGGGAGTTTGTTCACACAGCGGGGGGGTTCACCCAAACCCGTTAGGTTTTGCCAAATTCGGCAACTTTACAAACTTTAGCAAATACTCCCCCAATATTTTGCCAAACTCTGGTGAATGTTGGAATATTTTTTGATTTTTTCCGATCATTTCCAGAAACACCTCGATATCCCAGTCTCTCCTCTGCATGTCACTCGCTGTATATCACAAAACTCCATGGGCTGCAGAAGAACTGCAGCTGTTTAGCCCGTGCTGCTCTGCGCGCGGAAAGAGTTGGAGCTGGAAATAGCACTATAGCCCCTCCACAGCACCAAACAAGCCTGGCCATGGGAAATTGATGGAAATTGATGGAAATTGCCCATATTGATTATATCCATTCTTATTTAGATGCTTAAAGATGTCATTTCATGTGATTTCCATTCCCATCTCGGAATTTCCGGAGGGCAACCAGTGGCAGGACCGGAAACCCACAGGGCCCTTCAGCGCATCTGCTGCCAATGCCAAAGGGGACCACACTGGATCCAGATGCTTGCATTGAATATGACTGGATCATGGCATAAGGATAACGTAATTGTAATTAGTTGATGAAGTACTCTAAGACTCTAAGATATTAAAAGTCTAGTAACTAGAGTCTAGTAGTGTTCCAAAAGATGTACTTATATTGGTGAAATGAACTCTTAATAAGTAGTGTCAGTAAAGAACATCCAGGGCTGTTTGCCCCCCAGGTCTGGCCTTGTGCTCCTGCACGGCTGAGGCATGTTCGGCAGCTGGCTGCGCAACTTGGCTCCGCGTTCGGAGTTTCTGCAGGTGAACATGGTCCACTTGTGATGATTACCATAATTACCTATATATCCTATATTAAAAGAGCTGATTTTCCATGGCTATCTTAGCAGAAAGTTCATAATGCAAAAGTGGAAGAACGAGTTTAGGGTGGGAACACGTTAATAGATGGACATGAACAGTTTTTTTTTTGAGTTGGAGAGGAAATCCCTGTGCTACCGTGCTTTTGCCTGAGGCGACAACTGCATCATTGCATGGGGGCTCTTCTACACAGACCCAGAGGCAAGCGGCCTCTCTTTGGCATGTGCACATGTGTGTAGCTGTAGTTACTGCTGTAGGTCTTGCTCCTAGCCCTTCTGACATAAGCTGCCTGAACATCCCAACAGTGTCTCTTCCGATATCACATTAATGTGATGTGATGTGAAATGATATGACAGTCGATCTATTTTTGGCATGTTCACCCATGCATAAGGATTTTGACCCAGCCCAGCGTGTGACTACGTAGCAGCCTCGGGTGCCAGGGAGCAGGAGCAGAGGACTCCGTCGCTTGCATCAGCTCAATCGCCAAGTTTCTCTTGACGCTCGACAGTAACATTGGAACCATTGGGAACCCGCTGCTTTAAAGCGGCCCACTTTGGTGCCCAAAGGGCACTGACACTGACACTGCCCGAATTGTCACACATTTTTGAAAGATAGAGGTGCTGACATGTGCCGACATTGCTTCATATATATTTGGGTATGGTCGGTATGGTTTTATTTTTTAAACGTTAATTTTCTGCAATTGAGCATTCGCCCTTTCTTCAACCCTGCGGAGATTCTCAGTGTTATCTAGTGCCCTTGGGCGTTTTTTTTTGGGGGGGTGGTTGAGCGCCAAGGACGTACCAGAGTCATAAGATGGAACTGGTCATCAATGGGCTCAAGGACATTTTTTGGGCACCGGCTATTGGTACTTTTGAGATACACAAAGGTCACCCTTCATTTTAGATATTCTAGGAACCTTCATTGTCTATCAGGCCCTATCATCATTGCTCCGCCATGTATTATGAGTGAAGAATAGTGAAGATATAGGCACAATGGGTACATATCTCGGCACATATCGATTTTTCAGTAGCCGGCTCAGCCAGGGAAAAGTCTGATGTTTTCGTTCACAAGGCAATGCACATGTCGTGAATCAGGGTGAGCTGAACCGGCTCCGTGGCCAGGATGTCAAGGGACCCGAGAAGACTTGGATGGATCGAAACTGTGGCAGCATGGGACAATGGAACAGAAGGATGTTTGAGTCAAAGAAAAGATCAAATTTTTATCAAAATTTATGGTTTTGAGGTCAGGACATGGACCAATTATTGTAAGTGAACGCTTCCAATCTTCGGCAGACCTGCAATGCCGCAGAGGTTCAGTTGGCGTAGCAACCATTGGCCCCTCCAAACACAAACAGCATTTGACAGTTGACGCCTGTACAGCCTATACACCTCAAAAATCGGTGAAAGCCAACGCAGCTGCAGCTGGCAAGGACCACACATTCGCTTCATTGGCGAGACTGGCTTGGAAGATCCCAAGTGGTGACCAGTTGATTTGGTCTTCGGATTGGCGACTCATACCTTTGTATTCGAAAGGAGTTGGCTGCCTCTAGCTCATTCTATCTCAAAATATTGAATGTCATTCCAGCCATGGTGCAATAGTTTTAGAACTTGAGAGGTGGCATTTGAGCGGAGGGTCCGATCGATACGCCAGCATATGGGGGTCGTTCTAAAACCCATGCAAGACTTTTAGTATCCGAGTGACATCTGCAGATATGGATGTGTGTTTTTGCTGCAGTAGCGAAAGACCGCGAAAGGGCGGCGAAAGGTTCGCGAAAGGTCTGAATACACCTATTAGACTAGATGTATGTGATATAGTATTCATGCATGGCAGTTACAGTTGCATTCATACAACCATTGAACAAACAACTTGGGAGTTTTTCTTAGATAGGAATGGGTTTTAGTATAGGAACTGAAACAGTTCACGAAACATGAGTTTTACAAATCATTTTTCTAGGCGAGAAATTCGCGAAAGGTTCGCGGAAGGTTCGCGAAAGGTTGGCGAAAGGCGGGTCTGCCAGGATCCACCCTTGGCCCAACATGGTCTAGTTTGTCTTGCAATGTTGCCACTGCAAAAACGCTTCAAAGTCTTTTCAACTTGTGTTTCCGTTGTCGGGCAATCTGCAAAAGACTTAGGCGAATGCGTCCATTTCCCTGTTTTTAATATACAATCCTCCTGTAAATCTGTATTACGAAATAACATGATCATATGAAAATTTCCCTGTCCCAATTCTGCTGGGGGCGCGAAAAGTTCGCGAAAGGGCGGCGTGCAGTTTTGGCGTAACATAATTTTGAACAACCCCCATATGACAAGCAATTCTTCAAACTTGGCTTTTTTGTGCCTGTCCTTTCAATTTGGGCAGTCCAACATGCTGAACGTTTGCCTTGACCATCCTTGACCATGGTATCCATGGTTTGGCGTGAACGCTGCAGTGAAGAGGTACAATCACAAGCAGAACGATGCCCTTGGCTATTTCATGTGGGCCCGGTTCCCCAGTGGCAGTGGGACCAGTAGTTGAGTGAGTCATTACAATTGTGTGAAGAGCATGGATCGTGTGAAGACCAGTCCTGTGAGTCCTTCTAAGTTTCTCTTCGCAGAGGTGGAGGATGTCCACCAAACAAATCCACAAAGCGGGCCAATTTTCTTTTTGGATCTAGGCATATCTAGGGCAAGGCGGCCAAGGTAGGAAAAGCATCTCTAATATCTCTAATTTCAGCCGAGCAATGCTCTCACAACCTTATTATATCATCCAATATCTAAACATATCTAAACCTTTCATCGGTCTCAGATTCTCTCGTGCCATCTCCAAGCACAATCACAGACTTGAAAACACCCCAAAAGCAGGTGGTGATATGAGATGACATGACTTCTGGTATGTTTTATTGTGTTTTTTTTGGCTTGACCATTTGCCATCTCCAAGTGCGTCCAAAGTCAAGAGTATAAATCGATATAAATCGTGAATTGAAGCAAATGGTCAACGAGGCAACAACACGCAATCACATGCATATCACATCCTGAATCAGCCGGCACTTAGTTGATCGGACTCTACTTCCCTACACCCACACACAAACATGATCAAACATGGCATAACATGGCAGAAGGTCGCACACTTGCAGGATCTCGTAGGCATGAGTGCTCTGCACTCCCCAACTGACAGCTGCGGCTGCGGCTTGATTTCTTTTTTTGGCATCAAACGCCTGCACACCCATAGGCGGGTAACAAGGATGGCATGTCGGAATATGTCCGAATATCAATAGATAGATATCGTCTTCCCTACATTACAGGCACACCGCCCCACCCACCTACCACGCTAGGCGCGTACACAGCTCGCATGGCACAAAAAGTTGCCGTTCAACGGAGAGCATTTAAAGCTTATGGGGCAGGCACCGGGGGTTGGATGGGTGCATCATGTTCATAGGATATTGGTGTTTTGACATTTTCAAGGATGTTTGAGTTTTGTTTTGAGGGATTTTGAAGGCAACAGTCAATGAGCAGCTGGCTCTGGGCCAGTGGCTGAAGAAAGTCCCAGGCCCTGTACCATGACACCCACCCGCTTCCAGTCCACCACTGTTGGTGAAGTCCCCCTCAGCTGAGTGTGTGTTTGAACTGGGGTATACCCTCCAAAATCGCCTTGAAGATGATAAACCATGATAAACACCACCGATTTTTGGGTTGTCCCCCTCATTTTTTCAGAACCATGTAGTGCATCCTCTGCCGTGGCACCTCGCAGCTCTTCGACTACCTGCGTGCGATCGAGTCTTGGGTGGATTTGGATGGAGGCTGCTGAAGGAACAGAGCAACAATTGGCTGAAAACGGTCTACATTTTGGTAGATGATTGTCGTTGAAATTCTAGTTTTGCTCGATCACAAGTCAAGACCATCAAATTTTGGGTAAACATTTCCCATGAACGGTTGGGAATTCATCCAATGTATTTCCAATAATTGTTCTTGAATGAGGTGAATTCCCATGAGTTCACAGTCAACTCTTTGAGTGCACTGGGCCAGGCCATTGGGAAGAGCATTCAGCTGTCCACGCCTCCTCCATCGGGTTCCCAGCTTGGCCAATCTGCAGTTGTCATACGAAACCAAACCAGCCTGACTCGTTCGGCGGTTCTGCACTGAACCATTGGCCCACTAGAACTTCAACTCAATAACTGGGTGAACCATGAACCATGAACCGACCCCTTTGTTCCAGTCAGGTTTAGTCAATTTCGTCCCAGTTTGCAATGTTTGCCATGAAACTGGTTTGAGGCCACCCCTGGCAGCGGTGAAGCTCTTCAAAAAGGCCAGGTGTTTTGGGCGTTTCCATGGCGTGGCCATGGAGGTGATTTCCCGATTTCCGTCAGGTGGCAGCCAGAGATGGCTTCTTGCCTCCCTGCAAATCTGACACCCTGGATGTGTTGGAAAAGAACTTGCAGGCTTGGGCGGTTTAGTTTGGGTTGGGACAAATGTGAACTGTTTTGCCATGTTTTGCCATGGTTTGCCCGAAGTTCAGTAATTACTCAACATAAATAAATTGAATTTGGACCAAGGCCACAATCCTGGTGATTTCAACCTGCTTCAATTGTGTTTCGCCTGGCCAGTGGATCACAATCCTAAACGGCTACAGTGATTTTTTTTCGGGAAAGGGATTGAATAATGGTGAAACCACCCATTAGATATGGAAATTGTTTGTCACCACCATGACAGCAGCCAAGCACTTCTAGGCGGCACTGTTGAAGATTCTTCCAGGGGCGCGGGGCCTTGAAGGGCTCCAGCAATGTGGAACCAATTAGACACATCCAGCATTGGGGTGTTCCAATGTGATAATGTGTTCCATGCTTTCCCCTTGGATCCCAGGGCGATGTAGGGGAAATCCATGGCAATCCTGACTCCTGACATTGGTCCCGAGGAGATCACCTTCCCCCCGGAGCTGGCCCGAGATGCTGATGCAGCCACCGTTTTCCTGGCCTACCCCTTGGAGGCGATGGGTTAAGTTGTGACCGTTGTGACCGGAGCCTAGGGTAATACGGAGCCTAGGGATGCCTAGGTTGCTTCATGATGGTTCAGAAGGTATATGGAATTCAATGGAATTCACTTATTTGCAGTCGTTTTTTGATCATGTTCCATTATTTGCAGTTATTGGTTCCTTATTTATGCCTGTGTTCTGAAAGGTATCACCAACAATGCCATTAAATGTTGCTGATTTCCCTTGATAGTTCACCAACGGGCGTGTTTGTTCACCCTGGTGGAGGGAGGGAGGCTTGCTGCTCATCATCATCATCGTCGTCGTCGTCATCATCATCATCATCGTCATTGCGAACTACAATGTAAATGTATGTACTGGTACAATAGGAATTCGAAACTCCAAAAAGGCTTTGCATGGTCAATACGACTAAAGTGGATTTCCATGGATTTCCCAAGTTGTTCCAAAAATCTGTTCAGTTCGCACTTGCCCGTGCTATGCCCAGCTGTTGGGGTTTCCTGTTGGATGCAGGTGGTGGATGACCAATTAGGGCTGCAGATCATGGACCGGCTGAAGAAGGTCATGGGACACATCGGCATGTGCCGATACCGGAAGGACATCCATGGCATCCATGGCTTCATCTGACCTTGGTAGGATGGGATTGGGCACAGGATCCACAGATGTTTGCTCCAGGACAGCTATTGGTGCAAGGACCGGCAAAGATTAGTTTCAAAAGGTACTGCCAGCTGCTCATGTTGACAGACACAAATCTGTGTGAAATCGTTTTTCAATACTGTTGATGTGCTTGATTGTGCTTGTGTCCAGATGCTTATCGACAAAAGACCCATTCTGGTTGACATGCGTGTGCCGCTGTCGCTGTCACTCCAAGGGTGCCCAGGTGTTATGGGCTTTCCAATTCAACTCAGACTGCCATCACAGCCCCAAAGTCCATGATTTCGTCCCTGATTTTGGGAGATTTTGGGCTTGCCTGCAGGACTACAAAGACAAGGTTGGAGAGGATCCAACCAAACATTTCACTGATGAGGAATTGAAGGAACGCGACAGGTCGGGCAGAAGTGACATTGGAAGACCTGTCTTCGCAAAGTTTTTGCTGACGCCTTCTCAGTGCCTGATATCACTTTCTTCAGCATTTGGTTTGAGATCTTCCCGCATCAGCAACTTGAGCAATGTAGTTACGTAGTTTACATTCACATCATTCACAAAATCGACGGTGCCCTTCAAGACATGAACAATATTGAACAATCATGTTTTTCAGACAGTATTTTGGGTCAAATTGGTCCTTCAGACAGCAGGTTGCTTCAAGATGGTGAGGAGGCACAGTGGTGTCTATTTGACCCGCGCCTTGTGCAGCATCTCAGAACCTACGACTGGATGATCCCAATAGACCGCAACTAGACTTGGGATATATATGGATATATAGATATACTAATATATGTATTAGATAGATATGCATACACACACATCACATAGAATTTACGTATATCAATAAATCAATGAATAAATAAAAGTATGTCATATAGATAAATGCATAGATATGCAAATACATTTTAAATAAACATATTATATATATAATAAGCAAATAAATATGTAAATATATTATCAGGGTTGCTCCAATCCAATTACAGACAAATGATAGCCACAAAGGGGGTCTATTAGTCATGTTGCCTCTATATTTACCCAATTTACCCCCCTTGTGCCTGCCATTTTTGGAGCAACCCTGTATATGAATAAAGGAATAATAAATAAATAAAAAAAATAAATAGATATAAAATTAGATATAAATATATATATATAGAGATATTTGATTTATTGTATGTAAACACATATAAACAAACAAACAAATAAATGAATAGATAGTTAAAAAAATAGATGGTAAAAAAATAGATAGACAGACAGACAGACAGATAGACAGACAGACAGATTAGATAGATTAGATAGATAGATAGATTAGATTAGATAGATTAGATAGATTAGATAGATTAGATAGATTAGATAGATTAGATAGATTAGATAGATTAGATAGATTAGATAGATTAGATAGATTGGATAGATTGGATAGATTAGATAGATTAGATAGATTAGATAGATTAGATAGATTAGATATTTTAGATAGATAAGATAGATAAGATAGATTAGATAGATTAGATATATAAGATAGATAAGATAGATAAGATAGATAAGATAGATAAGATAGATCAGATAGATCAGATAGATCAGATAGATTCAGATAGATTCAGATACTGTAGATAAGATAGACAAGATAGATAAGATAGATAAGATAGATAAGATAGATCAGATAGATTCAGATAGATAAGATAGATAAGATAGATTAGATAGATTAGATAGATAAGATAGATAAGATAGATTAGATAGATTAGATAGATAAGATAGATTAGATAAATAGATAGATAGATGGATGGATGGATGGATGGATAGATAGATATGTACATGTGCAGAAACCACCAACTGGTTTTGTTTGATGAGAATTCGATTCTTGATGTGAAAGGTTAGGTTATGGCCAAGGTTCAATGGGCACCGCCTACTGTGCATGATTTTCTCCGTGTTTCATTTCCGAGAACAACCTTCAACTATGGCGGAATATTTTAAAATGATTCCAAGGGGGTATGAAGGGTTAGGAGTATCCTAAGACCCGGCCATATTCAATACCTGGGACTGAGTTAACTGCAGCAAAATGCTGTGGTCTTCGTGGGGCTGAGTCTTTCTGCCCGTCTGGCAATGTGTCAATGATTTATTCTTCCTTGCCGCCCTCCCCAGCCCTATCAATATCACTAAGGATGGTGAGCTGCTTCTATGGCCGTATGTACCAGAAAACTCAGGCAATAGCTGTGATGCTGATGACATCTGATGACTTGATCATGTCATATCCTGCCTGCGTGGTGTCAGGACGAGAAGTACTTAAAGCTCCAGCAGCTTTTTCTCGCAAGGTGCCGGCGCCATGGGCCCTGAATGGCAGCTATTTGTTACATTTTGTTACCAGCTGCTTCCACTTAATTGATCCCAACAGCAGCATGATACATGCCGCGGAATTGGCCTTCATCGCCAGGTATCGCCAGTAAACGTTTCAGATTCACTGCACCCCTGCGGTGCTGGAGGGTGACTTCTTTGTATTTTGGCAAGGGCATGTCCCAACGTACAGCCACGAACAATCTGCTTGTGGGATTTCTCTTGATCTTTGTGCCTGACTCAACTTAGAGACATGCAGGTCGTTGGCTGCCATAACTGGGGACGATTGTCCTTTTGGGCCATGGCATTGTGCCGAGGCTGGGTCAAGATCCCCAAACCCCAATTGTGGAGGGTGAAGTGCCATCGCTGCTTCCATAGCTGACCCAAAGCTTCTCAGCCTCAGGCCTACTACCTGGAGAAAGACAGATGGGTGCCAAATGATGACACACCCTTGGTTTGGACGCAGACCCTGGGCAGCACTGCTTCCCCATTTGGGGTCTGGAACGACGTACTGAAGTGTTCTGACATGCCAATGTTCACTACTTGCCTTGGATCTTTCTGCAAGATTCTGGGAGGATCCTGTCTCTAGCATCGTTTGTCGCCATGCTGCTGAGGATTGATTTGAAAATGGCACTCTTTGAGATGGAGAGAAGTCTGAATGTCTTGAATTAGCGGACTTCCTGCCTGATGATTCCAACTAAAAATGTCTCAAAACAGGGATTCGATTCAGAACCAATCAAGATTACGAAGCATGATGAGAACATGAAAGATATGCAAGGAGGATTTGGCAAAAGGTAGCAGGATTGTAGCTTTAACATGAAGTTGCTGTGAGAAGAGGGAGCCACTGGACAGTTTCCCAGTTGAATAGTTATGGTTCGCTGCTTCCAGTGCTGCTTCAGAAAGGGGCACTGCTGGGGTCGTATCGATTTCCAATAAGAGGGGACTGTGACCGGCCAAAACCAACAGATGTCCCAGGTTCCGCGACTGTTTTCTCAAATCAACTCTGTTTGCAATGCTGGCAGTCAAAGTGGAAATGTTCTTAAATACTTTGCACATGAGAACAAAATAGAACGGACCTGAAGGAGATGGAGAGAGATGAGAGAGAGATCCAAGTGTGCACCATGGGGAACATGGGCACCATTTCAGTTTGGTTTTAATCTCCCTGCGGCTGACTGCCGACTGCCCTTGAAACGAGAGCAAAACGACCGCAAGGAGTTTGGATCCTGCAGCGGACAGGGGTAAGATGGGGTATGGAGCGACAGGGCAGATGCCCTCAGTATCCTTCAATAGATATGTGTTCCACCCGGCCGGGAGAAATTCCGGAAGGACGAGAAATTGAAGAAAAACCGTGTGATGATGTTTGATCTTGATGTTGATCTCTTTGTCACACTATGGTCAAAGCAGATCGATGTGACAGCGATAAAAGAAGTGGCCAGCTGTTGGTCCTGAGCTTAAAAGGGCCTTGGTCAATTTTGGTCACCAGTGACTTAGATCCCAGAGGAACGAAGATTTCCACGAGAAGTTTTGGTGGGTTTGTTGGATTTGGAATTATAAATTTTGGGAGAGATTCCAGGCCCTTTGCTGGCAAGAGTTGCTTGCTATGAATTCCATTCATTTTACCTTTCACGAAACTAAGGCGCTGGACAGCACAGAAGATGGGACCCAAGGCGGCTTTACAGCATTGGTGGAATGAACTTCGGATGATCTGGTGTGTTGAATTTGTTCAAATGTACTTTCTGGGCCAATCCAAAAATGTAGTCATTCTTCAAGTAGCTGCCTTGTAAAATTACTCGTAGGTTGTCATGGTTCATTGTTGGCATGTAGCACATAGCAAGGTTGTTGCCTTAGCGATTTTGCAGTTCAAACTGAATACTCAGGTCAAGATAGTCAAGAAGATTCGTGCTCCGGAGCGTGCATTCGCCCAGTAGATCCCAGTGACGCAGTGGCAGGGCTTCTTAACAAATTAAGGGGTTTTTGCCTTGCGGGGCCCTGAGTCGTTCTGATCCGATTCAGGATTGGGGAGCATTGCTGGGAATGGTATCTCACATAAAAAAATGAGTGATCAACTAGTGATCATCAGTGTATGCACAACGCTAGTAGTACTAGCCTCCTCAATAGCTAGTGATCCCTGGGATCGTGGATCCTGTTGACCCGGATGGGTGAGGGTGAGGACGTCGCACCCTGCAGACTTCCGGCTCAATGCAGTGGAGGTAGCCACCGTTGCTGCCAGTTGCAGCTACCAACTGCCTGTAGGTGCCCAGTCGGTGATGGCAGGAGTGGTGAAAGACTGTGCCCTGGTCAGATGTGGTTATAAGTTACTAGGCTCGGAGCCTCTACTGTTGATCAGGTGAAGAATTCATGGCTGAGAATGAAGATGATATCGGACTGATATCACATGTAGAACATGTAAATATTCTCATAACATTCTCATGTTTTCCCCTTATTGTGCTTCAGGGAAGCTATCAAGCCTCCCAACTGTCGGAGGTGGCTGCAACAGCTCCATGGTGCAGCTGCCCTACCTGAGGTGGCCGACTTAGCGAAAGGCATCAAGGTGACAAGCAAGGCCACGGTGCATGTGATGATAAATTTTGACAATACTAGCTGAAATATGACGATATGCGTGATGATATTTGATACTACTCTGTGTCCTGTGATGTGAAGAGGATGCAAACTATATCGGAAAATAGACGACAAGACCGAGAATACATTTTCACCAGGCTTCCAATGTGATTCCCCAATTCATCACACCTGTAGCTCTGAGCAAGGCGTAGCGATGGCCCAAAATTGGATCCTGTGAGCCCCAGGAACTTCACAAATGCCGCTGAGCTGATACCTGGGGGATTCGCCGCTCAAAGCGTCTACCCTCTGGTTATGTCAAAATAGCTATTGAAAATGGCCATTAATAGTTGATTTTCCCATTAAAAATGGTGATTTTCCATAGTTATGTTAGTTTACCAGAGGGTATATCTTTCATTATCTTTCTCTTCTCTTCTCAAAAGTGGGAAATTCAGTCACATCTTTCATCATCTTCCCCTGTTTTTGGGGTCATTCTATGGGGATTGTACCAGTTGTATCTCCATTTTCGTTGCCGTCGTGCCAGCTGCGCAGAGGTCATTGAAGCCATCGGTTTCGGGGTGCCACAGGCGCTGGCAGCTGGTACTCCAGTTGGGGATGGGTTTCCCTAAGTCGCTTAGTCATTGGGCCCATGGACGATATAATGATGGACATGCATTGGCTGATCGGGATTTGGATTCAGGATTTGGATTGTGGATTCTGATCATAGTTACCTCAGCCGCCAGATCATCGCTATGGTCCTATGTGGCTTCGTGTGGGCTGCAGATGGTGCAGAGCTTTTGCTCTTGGGATGCTCGGCTGAACCAGGAAGTCCGCCATGAAGAGCAACCGGGGGTACCTCGACCCTGCCTGCTATTTAGATAGATCTATATGATATAGATCTGTCTGTTTAGATCTAATATATCTATATAATTACATATATATATATAATTATATATTTAGTAAGTTAGTGGGTCCAGAACTACATATTAGACGTTATTACCATTTCAGAGATTCTACAGTTTGGATCGACATGTCAGCGCTACAATCGTCTGGAGCCTTTTTCACTCCACCAGTGGGGCCTCAGGATCAGTCACTCGATCAGCACCTTGGCAATGCACAGAGGATTGACTGAATTCCCCGATTCTTAGGGTGCATGGCTCATCTGCAGAACAGAAGATGTGGTATTCAGCATGGGTGCCAAACAAATTCAAAGGCAGAGTGGCGATGTTCATCAGCCTGTAGCACTGTTGTGTGTTTTTTTTTTTCGGGGCAGAAACTGATTCAACACATTCCCTGTGCCTTCAACTCAGGTGGCTGATGAGTAGCTTGCCTGCACCCATGGGACCATATCCACACATCAACAGATCAACATGAATAGATCACAGTGAAACAGAAAAATAGGATATATATATATATAACACATATATATATATATATACACATCTACAATCGATATGATATATATATATAATACTCAAGAGATAATACTGGCAAATGGAGAAATAGATAAAGAAACCAAGACGTGTATATTGCAAAAACGAGCCATGCTGGCCCCAACCCACCATGTCCACGGTAGCGCTATCATCAAGGTGGGCTTTGGAGGCATGGCAGCGAGGAGCCATTGTCTCGGTGGTCTTCATCGGTATCCTTTTAGGTGCCGCAGGGCATTCCACGATGGGTGGCCCCGGATGGCCATCCAATGATTAAATGGTTGCATGAAGTTGCATGAAGTTGCATGAAGTTGCATGGCATTGGTTGCAAAAGTGGGCTAAGGCAATTTCGGATTTTTGCTGTCACATTTGTCATTCCATGCTCAAGAAGTTGTGTTTTGGAGGATATTATGAGGATATTATGAGGATATTGTCATGCGATGCCTTTCCCCTCTCCAATCCATGTGTGGGTTACGAGGCAACACCGTGGGTGGACCGTGGCCTGATTGCAGCTGGGATCCCCAAGAGCTGTTCCAGCTGGCCATGCTGAGCTGAGGCTTGGTGACAGCACTGGGCGCAAGACCCCAATCCTGTTGTCCTTCATTGGCATCGTCCTTTTCAGCGTCATCTCTGCTTCTTGCATAGGACAGGGACTTTGGGGATGGAGATGATGGAAATGATGGAGATGGACTTACCCTCTGGTTATGTCAAAAATAGCTATTGAAAATGGCCCATAGAAATAGTTGATTTACCTATTAAAAATGGTGGATCTTTCCATAGCTATGTGGCTGTTTACCAGGCCGGGTAGTCGCTAACGGTCACAGATAAAGGATCCGATTTCTGTGGGTCATCATCAACTGGAGCGCCGCAGGATTTTGGTCCTTAGCCTTGGTCCGGACCATGGTTGGTGCATCCTTCGGCCTGGGTCAACCATCGAAGCTGGGATGAAAAGTGATTCAATGGGCGAGATGTTTCGAGATGGTTGAATGGATACCCTCTGGTAAACTAACATAGCAATGGAAAATCACCATTTTTAATGGGAAAATCCACTATTTCTATGGCCATTTTCAATAGCTATGTTAAATTACCAGAGGGTAATGGTGCTGATCTTTTGTTGCAATTGTTGCACTCTTGAAAGCAATGCTCGGCAGTACTGATTGTACTGCCCTGTAGGTCCAGAATTCCAGGCCATGTGAGGGCTCACGGATGATGTTGGCGAAAGTTCTGTGCAACGCGAAAGCTAGTAACTACTACAGTCCCCGAAGCAAACAGGTGAACGCTTTTGTCATGATGAAGCTCATGTTTATCCCTTTCACATTTGGGTTGTCATTGCCGATCAGAGTAGAATCCATGCGTGATAGCAGAGGCCCTTGAACTTCACAGGATCACAGGTTTTCTGGAAGGCCCAACGAGATAGACCGTGCCCCAGCTTCCATAACTGAGGACTTTGACGATGATCCGGGCCAATCGGCAAAGAGCGGAGCGGGGTGTTCCTGTGTTTTGCGATTGTCATGACTTATCACTTATCTCACATGATTATATAACAATATATAACATATGTGGAGATATTTGATGATATTTGGCACTGTCAATCTCTCGAACAGATCCCATATGTGATCATAGGCCCAAAATTTGGAGATGTTGATCATGAATGCATGATAATGCATGAATAGTTACAGCAATTCACCTAATCCACCTCAGATCCATTCAGATCCTATTTCTCGAGCTAAGGATATCACGCCATCACGGCCTGGCCCCCAGCGCTCCAGCATGCTCCAGCTGAACTTTGCCGCCGTGGATGACCCATTGGTCATGACCAAAATTCATCGTGTGTCGAGGTGGCAAGTCTTCGCAGTCAGTGCAGTGTCTTCAGTGCTGCTTGGTGAAATCGGGCTTGTGATGTTTCGGGCCTGTGATCATCAATTCTGTTTAACGGTTAGGGAGTTGTCCCACATCCGAAAAAAGCAGGGTCATGAAAGAGAACGTAGGACCATAGTGGACAAGTTGCATGCTATCTAGCCCCGCCAAAGATGGAATTCCATTGCGTTGGTGAAACCTCTCTTTCAAGGGATTCATCGGGCCATGTTAGGCTTCACTGTACCACTAGACAGGTCCCCAGACACCCACCTGCATTGTGTCGCTGAGTTCATTTTGCTGCGGGGAGATCTACAGTGCGGCATTGATTTGGCCCCTTGGGTGAAATTGGCGGTGGAAGGGAGCCACTAGTCTTTTGGCGCCAGTTTCCGGCAGCCTAAAAGAGGGAGCGACACCACTACTGTCAAATGGGTTTGTCTGAAAATCGGGTATATTCCCAATGAAATAGCCATTTAATAGGGATAATGATCAGCAAAACCATTGGGTTTAGGGTGCACTATTTTCAGACACACCCAAATCTAAATCCTGATGGTTGGAGGCTTCGTGCTTGCCATTCTTCCCTGCCTGGCATGACGATCTGAAAAATGATCAGCTCGTGAAACGAAGATGCCAAAACATCCGAAATAATCTGTGAATGATTTGACATCCTTGGGTGACTTGCGCAGCTCCGGACAAAGACATTTTCCATCAAATTATACTTGCGTAGTTATATATATAAGTATATATATATATATAATTATATATATATATAATTATATATATAATTATATATATAATTATATATAATTATATATAATTATATATATATGCTGAATTGGTCAAACACCGGAAGCAACTTCAGTCCATGCCGGAACAATCAGGTACAATGACCCCAGCATGAAGGAGCTAGACTGGCGTTTCTCGTTTGCTTCTTGCGGTGAGGGATGATTCAGTCAATGAAGGCATAGCAAGGCACAGCAAGGCCATACACGTCGGTACTTGTATCTTCGCCCGTTGCCGATATGTGGCCTATCTTGGCGCAAGGTTGGCTTTGCATCATGGGGGCAGTGCCCTCCATTGTTGGCCTTGTGCTCTCCTACTCTTTTCTAAAGGCACCAGGGGGGCTTTGAATATTTTGAATGAAGACATACTTCAATAGTCAAACATGGCCATAGGACATCCCCACAAAATCCCCTATATTTGGACGTCCTAATGGGAAGATCACCTACAACGGAGTTTTTTCCCATTGCCATGTAACGGACTGCCAGATGGTACTCAAAAAGGTGGTCAGAAGCCGTCCTTTGGCGCTGTGACACATTGTGACACGAGCAGTGCCCTGGTGTCCAGGAGTCACCCGCCTATTTGTTGGATAATGGCTACACGGAGGAAGCAAAAGAGTTGATCGAGTCCTACAAGCTACTTGGCTTCGTGGTCATTCTGCCACACTCAGAATCACTCAGATGCAGGATGCAGGTCCATTGAAGCACTCCTTCCAGAATGTTAAGCCAATTTGACTCTCACAATTTGCCAGCTTTGTTTCGAGAAATCACATGGCTTATAATATAGCATCTTCTATCATCTTATAACATCCTATAACTATCTACAAGTTCTAACATCATGATCTCCCAATGGCTGCATTTGCACTCATTTGCCCAACAGTTTTCTTTCAACAGCATACCACACTCTTAGCAGATCAGTGCGCTAGTATTAATTATCAACATTTATCAACAACCAAATTTGAAAGAGAACGAACCAGGTGTTTCATTCCCCAGTTCCACAATTCTAACGTGCTGCGTGCAGGATTTCGAATGGAGCTGAGCACGTGTGTTGTGACCTCATCACATCTTCCACCCTTGCAAGGAACTGCCGCTGATGGGCCATGATGGGCCTATGGGATCTCAGGATGTCATAGGATTTCCCACTAATGTCATAGACATAGATAGTGTAATCACAATTGAGTGGGAAACAATTAATCAAATGATCATAATTAATGTCATAATTAATGATTACTAATCAAAATGAATCAAACTTATATATCAAACTTAATGTGACACAAATTGAAACATGTGGCCTTCGTTATGCCGAAACACAACGCAATACATCGCTCTATACGGCACACCGAGGGTCTGCCGCAGGACTCCCAGGTCTGCGAGGCAAAACGTGGAAGCAATCTTGTCACCGGCATTGACGCCCGATTGCAGAAACAGTTCGGCTACTTTATCAGACGAAGAAAATCTTGGCACATAGGAAAACCTATGGGCACAAGTGTGCAACCAATATTATGGGTTTTTGTAGAATATAAATAAATATAAATATAATATATATATATATGTATATAATTATATATATATACGTCTATATGCATAGATATAGATATAACTTGGGATATCCCCTTCAATCAAACCCATATCGTCTCACAGTTCGTCTCACAGTCGCTTAGGCGTTGGACAACCTTGGCCATGACCTACACGTGCTTCATATTGAATGTCTGCTTCTATGGAAACTTGGTGGGGTCACATTAGTTGGCCGCTTGCCAACTGGGATCCAAAACTGGCCAGTTGCGGGTGCTGCGGGAGGGTTTTCACAGAGAACTTGTCAAGGTAACAATTTCTTCAGAAATTTTGCGGAAGGATGGATGGGACGGTGAAGTTTCATAAAGTTTCTTCATGGGAGTCATGCTTGATGGGTTGATTTATGAACATCTATGAATATCTCGGACATGTGTGGCCAACAGCAGGCCCTGCTTCGTGACATGAGATACCCTTTTGTGCGACCAGGGCTACATGCCTCCAAGATGCTCGATGTTCATTCAACATTATTTTGGGAATGAGGAACTCTCTACGCCTTCCCTCAGGCTGGAAACTGAGAATAGCCGGAGATCGTTCCAAACTTTGAGGGAGGTTGCCCCACAGTCACAGATGCACACAATGATACACAATGTGTGAACGCAGGTTCTCCTTAAGTAGTGAATGAAAGGACTGAAACGACACGAATCTTGCTTCACGCGCAAGGGCATCTTGCACTGCAGGGAATGGTCCTGGTGGTTTGATGGTACAAACTGCTGTCGTGTTCACAAACTGCTGAGGTCTTTGCAGACACGTCGACGCCCTACAGTCCAGCTATGGCTTTGCTTGCACGGTCCTCAAGAATCTCAAGATGCAGGGACAAAACCAAGTGCCACATTGAGTCATAAACAGATCCACGCACACCAGCAGATGAGCAACAGTCAAATAACAGTCAATACAGCATCGACACTGCATCAAACTTGGTGCCCTGAAGAATCTGAAGATGCGCGTTTTTCCCCATTTTTTCCATTTTTTCCAGTGTCGAGTTGATTCCAGTTGCAGCTCACTGCATCACAGTTTGCAGCTAGATTTCATCAATCAATGCTGTGGCTTGGATGGCCTGGGATATCTCCAGGTGGGTGCGCTGTTCGAGATGCCTGGTCAGATTGCAGCCCCTTTGTGTGCCACCGTTTTGGACAACAAGGACTTTGGAGGGGAACAGGACTTTGGCCTGGGAACTCGGGGGGTGACCATGTGATGATGTAGATTCCAATGTAGATGCCCCGGTAAGAATCTATGTACTGTACCATATGCGCAATAATGACCACTATCGACAAAAACAATACAGTAACTTTAGTGAACATAAGGATAACCATTTGGTGATTCATCATACTGGTACTGACAATGATGATAACTTGATAACGATAACAATCATGCTCATGATGATAATACTTCTGATAACAATGATGGTGACAATGGCACGAATGAGTATGGTAATAGTAATATCTTAAATCTTAAAGGTGAACATCACAGTCACAAACAACATCACCATCACAATCACATGCACCATCATCAAAACAATCATCAGAATAATCTCCCTCCTCCTCCTCCTCATCATCATCATCATCATCATCACCATCACCATCACCATCATCACCATCATCATCATTATCATCAACAATAATCATCAACAATAATCATTTATCATTCATTCATCATTCATCATTCATTCACCATTCATCATTCTCCATATTCATCATATTCATCATTCATCATATTCATTATATTCATCATTCATCGTATATCACATTGATCACACATCACATTTTATCAAATATAATCAAATGTCATCATCACCACGGCCGTGGCCCTGTGGCCCTGGCCCCGTGCAAGACCATCCTGCGGATGTGCCCTCTGGGAATAGCCATTGCTTCGCTGATGTTCCTCGTGGGGGCCAATGGCGAAGGCATGCTCTACGGCACCTTGCCATGGTGCGAAGCTGTGAAGGGCCAGTCAACCCTAAACCCGAAACCTTCAACGATGGTGGAAACCACACGCTTCTGAGAAAAATGCTGGGTTTTTGGCCAGACTTCTAGATCTCAGGAATTTGAGACCCAGAGAGGCAAAGAGGTCTCACAGGCTAGTATACGTATATATATATATAATATATATATGTATATAATATTAATCTAAATCCGTTGCATCAACCTTCCCAGCTGTTGAGTCTCCCCACTTCAACAGACAGCTCTTGAGGTACGCTGCTGCAAGTTGGATATGCAGGCTGCGCAACAGATTTCAGGGTTTTATGTGAACGCAGTCCCGTTAAATCCCTTTGAGATAAATCATCAGTTTCTGAGTCCACATAGCCTTTTCCTGCCTACATGTGCCTCCCAGTGATGTAGTGAAGTGGTCCCTCTGTCAGCTTTATAAATTGGTTTGGGCAGATGGTCAAGAACAAAGGTACAAAGTGAGACTTTTTGAAGCTAGAGGGTCACCAGGTAAGAAAAATAAATCGCAATTGAGTGTTGAAATCTGACACACAGATACGCACAGAGTTGTCCCAAATGTGCATTCAGAATTTGGACAAAAGTGAAATTCGGTGGTCTCAGCTGTATTGGCTGTGCCAGGAATCAAGATCACAGTAGGTGGTTTCTTCGCTCCTTGGCTTAGGAACGGCGAAGTCTCAGGTTTTGAGGCGTGTGGTAGGGGTTATGGATGGTTATGGTGATGGCACTAAACGTGACTTGCATGACAGGGTGGCGGTCAGTCTTGAAGCCATTGCGTGTTGTTTGACATTTGGTTCTGATTACTTTATTTTGTAGTGGTGATAATGATGAAGATCAAGATGAAGAACCTGGATGTGAATCTGAATCTAAATGTGAACGTCATGATGCAGTGACATCCTCAATGAAGCACTGAGGCTGTCGCCTACACCTGTGCCTCTGGCGTTTTCCCCACAGCTGTGAGGAGCACCGGAACAGAGCCTCAGAAGCATGAGCATCGGGACATCCCCATTCTCCACTGATGGGGTTGATTGGATGGTTTACATTGTTACCCTCTGGTAAACTAACATAGCTATGGAAAATCACCATTTTTTATGGGTAAATCCATTATAAATGACCATTTTCAATAGCTATGTTAGTTTACCAGAGGGTACATTGGATTGCATTTGGGCGATGTGATGCGATGTGGTCACCATCTCAACCTCTGAGATTCCAAGCCGGTCTTTCCGGGTGCCTAGGCGGCTTGTGTCGCGGGCGGACGCATTGGAGGCATTTTGTCTCCATTGATCTTCGAGCAAATGGTGATCGCCTTCGACGGCAGCTGAGCAGATGTTTAGTATGTTTAGGGCCCCTGGCGGGTCTGGAAACCTGAAAATTGTAGCACCAGCCAGATGTCAGATGGCCGAATGCACAGGGGTTGTCAAGGTCGTGGAGGCAGATAAGGCATGTCAGATGGCCGTCTGCTTCCCACCACCTGTGACTGGAGCCAAGGATGGGGAGGTTTTTTCATTCTTATGATAGGCTGGTCGAGCTGGTTGCTGGTGGATGCAGTAAAGTACTTCTGCATTACTTCTGCTATGGATTGCGACGGGAGCAGAAGCAGAGCGATTAAAAGAGTGAGTGCGGATGCAGAGTCATTGGCATTGTGATGTTTCATGATGCGACCGCAGTTGGCCTCCTCCTGAATAGCATCATCTTGGCAACCCAGCTGCAACAATGGCATCTGTGCAGATCATTCAGTTGAGGGTTTACATTGAAATTCCCAGCTGCAACCATATCCAGCCAAGATCCCCCCACATGTAGGATCCATGAGTTTCCATATGGATCATTATGGATCCATTCATATCCCTCAGTTTATTCACCTTTTGATCAGAATAACGAAAGAGATTTTCCTTGCTGGGACATTCCAGATGGCTCTGAACTTGGAAGACGTGGACGACATCAACAGCTTGGAGGAGTTGAAGCCGATGATTAGCACCTCGGTGGATGCATGGATAGATAGAGATGGAGCGAACTTGTTGTCTTCAACTTGGTTGCTTCATTGAGGTTTGTCCGAACATCATTTCCATCATCAGGTCATTGATTATATTTCACTTTATTTCGCTGTCAACAGTTCCATTCTAGGCACTGATTCAGCATTGTTGCTCAGGCACCTTTCTTGTAGGCAGTCTCTTTCTCCCCGCTTCTTTCTTCCCAGCGCCTTCTCCCCGTGAGCTTAGGCAACGAAGAGAAAGCAGTAGCTTGATGAGCTGAATGAGACTGGGGCACCCCGCTACCGAAGAGTGCTGCAGCGCTTTGATGATTGTGCTGCGCATGGGAAAACAGAGTCCAGCAACTTAGAGCTGCCATTGTTGACGTTGAGACAGGGTACTCCGATTTTATTTGCATCCTCTCAGTCCGTCACTGGATTGCAGCGGGTGAGTGGGCAGAGTTTGCTTCGAGCACATAAGATTAATGACAAGCAATGAAACACATGTAATAACTGTTGCTAACATTTGTTAACCATTACTAGCCAACGGTAACCCCATGGTAACCCCATGGTAACCCCATGGTAACCCCATGGTAACCCCATGGTAACCCCATGGTAACCCCAGCGAACCAAACCAGCCACGGTCAAACCCACACACTGCAGGGGCTTTTCTGACATCGCAGGGTCGCAATCAGAGTCCGAGCCTTACGAGCTTCCAGTCTTGCATGGTTGAAATACAACCCATTTGTGGCAAGTGATTGGGGATGGTTTATGGGGTTTTAATATATGTTTATGGCAGGTGATGGTGAATCCAAGCATGATAAGCATGGTTTCTAAAATTTCGCAAAATAATACTTTACAAAATGCGTGTCGTGCAAAAGTTGGTTGTGTGTTCCATTGTGTGTACATGTTGCAGCGCATAGTGTCAGTTGTCAGTTAGTAGCTGCCTTTTTCAGATCAAAAAGTCGCATTGCACCCACAACATCTCCACTGTCCAATCTTGCTCGACCTGACAAGGCAAGAGAAAGAGAAAGGCTCCTGCCGAAACCTGAGTAGCGCAGCAGCGTGCTCTGGGAGAATTCCTTGCAGCGATGTCTTTAAATAAAGTAAATTACTTTACTTCGTGTGATCCCCACCATGAGATTTATACATTTTGTTACTGGCAAATCTTCTGGCATTCTATCTGACATTTTATCTGGCATTCTATCTGGCATTCTATCTGGCATACCTTCTGGCATTCTATCTGGCATATCTTCTGGCATATCTTCTGGCATTCTACCTGGCATATCTTCTGGCATATGTTCTGGCATATCTTCTGGCATATCTTCTGGCATTCTATCTGGCATATCTTCTGGCAAATCTTCTGGCATTCTATCTGGCAAACATTCTGGCACTTTATCTGGCATACCTTCTGGCATTCTATCTGGCATGCTATCTGGCATATCTTCTGGCATTCTACCTGGCATATGTTCTGGCATATCTTCCGGCATTCTATCTGGCATATCTTCTGGCATATTATCTGGAAAATCTTCTGGCATTCTATCTGGCAAACATTCTGGCACTTTATCTGGCATATTTTTTTGGCATTCTATCTGACATTTTATCTGGCATTCTATCTGGCATACCTTCTGGCATTCTATCTGGCATATCTTCTGGCATTCTATCTGACATTCTATCTGGCATATCTTCTGGCATTCTATCTGGCATATCTTCTGACACTCTATCTGGCATATCTTCTGGCATTCTATCTGGCCGTTGAGGTCCAGCGTTGCACACTGAGCTGGGAAGGTCCCAGGTTGAGGTCCAGCGGTGCACACTGAGCTGGGGGTCCCAAGGTCCCAGGTTGAGGTCCGGCAGGGAACACTGGCGTGGATACTCGCGGTTGAGGTCCGGCAGGGAACACTGGGCGTGGATGGTCGTGGTTGAGGTCCGGCAGGGAACACTGGGCGCGGATGGTCGTGGTTGAGGTCCGGCAGGGAACACTGGGCGCGGATGGTCTTGGTTGAGGTCCGGCAGGGAACACTGGGCGTGGATGGTCGTGGTTGAGGTCCGGCAGAGAACACTGTGGATCGCGGGTCGCAGTTGAGCAAGGACGACGAGGACGACGAGGAGGACGAGGAGGATGAGGAGAGGAGGACGAGGCAGGAGGAGGCGGAGGAGGAGGAGGAGAAGGAGGAGGAGGAGGCAACTGACATAAAATCTAACAACCCTCACCTGGCAGGTGGGGAACAACAGAAGGTACCTTAAGTCACTCCTCACGACTTGCTTGACTGGAGGAAGGATGCTAGACACATGGGGTGCGCTACACAAGCATACTCATGAAGCTGGGCGAGCATGAGGGGACCGCACATATATATATATATAATTGTTTTGCCGTGAGCTGGTGACATCTAGTCACTGATCCTCAAACGACAAAGTCTAAGATTAAACCCCCGTACAGTATGCAACTTTGGAAGATATTATCAGCATTTGGATGCATTGCATTTTCTTTGGTGGGTTCCATGTTGGATTTTCGAAGGAATGACCTGCAAAAACCAGTTCGCAGTGGTTTTTACATGATTTTACATTTTTTTTAAAAAATATTTTATCCACGTTCCTTCTCACCTCGCTATCCTTGCTATGAACAGCTGGCCTTTGGGCAGCCTGTCCAGGTGCTGATTTCGTCCGCCTTATTGAAGGCCAGGGTCTCAGATCATTGATGTTGATATTGGTGAATATTGATGACCTGCCATGATGGATCCATAATGATGGTTAAGACACAGTTGAAGTCGGGGGTGATGAGGCTGGCGCTGATGTTGATGCCCTTTTTCGTGTGGGCAAGGCTGGGGCAAGGTTCTGGAGCGTGCGGGAGATGTGGCCATTTCTACCACAGAAAATAGCCATCAACAGCCCAAACACTTAATGAGGCGGCTGAGAATGGCAGGGATCATTTGGGTTACGCAGGCCTCTTTCATCATTTTCATGCTTGCCATGGCTTTGGGGAGTGCTGGTGGCATGGCAAAAGGCACAGATACCAACATTATTTGATTGGTGGTTTGGAACATTTTTATTTTTCTATATTGGGAAGAATCATCCCAACTGACGAACTCATATTTTTTAGAGGGGTTGGTCAACCACCAACCAGTTTTGCGGTCCAAGACTCGTCCATTTGGAGAGCACAGGCAACTCATGGCGCGATGTGACCCACGTGACACATAAGGTGCCGTGGTCAGGGTGCACAGGATGCGGATCCCAACCGATTCCAAGCTGTAGAATCTGTAGAAAAATGACCCTACCTGTAGGTAGATCATCTCACGACTCATGGATTCGGATTCGGTATGCTTCTATATGATCTAATTATATGATATTATATGTGCGTTTAGGTGTTTAGTCCCCATCACGGGGATGCGAAGTTTAGCTTCCCATTTTGATTTACTATAAGTTGAATGGCAATTTTTGCACGTGTGATCTTCACAGATCGTGGCAGGTGTACCGATTTTTGTAATTGTGATTGTATTCTCACCTCACTGGCCTCTTCTTGCAACTCTACCAGTCTACCAATGCTACTGCTCGGCAGCTTGGCGTGAGGCACCTGAGATTGGACCACTTGATGGCTTGTACAGGTAGGTCAATTGATCAGTTGAAGGCGCAGGCTCTGAACGCCAGGCCCACAACATCCCAAAAAAACACCAACTGTAGTGCCTGCTATGGGGCATGGTCGAAGGCAGATTCTGCAGTCCCGTTGTGCGGTTAGGGTGGCAACAAACCTTCAGAGCAATGAACAGAGAAACACCATAATTCATCAGCCGCAAAGGAGGCTGTAGGGTGTAGCAAGCTGGGCGCGGCAGGTACTTGATTCGTCGGCCTTTGCCATAGTCCGTGCTCAGTTCTGCTGCGGAACAAGAGACATGTTTTGTTTGTATGAATTTGTATGTGTAGATAGTTGAGTTTGTTCAGGGTTTCTATTTTTAAGGGTGAACTATAATCAATTGTCGGCAGGCTTTAGTTGCGCACTAATTTCCAGACTCTTTTTGACAGCATGTCCAACCGCTATGTCGCTATGTCCTCCAGTCGTCACCCTGAGTGTAGGGTGACATGCTGGTGTTTTTCCTACAGGTGTGCCCTCAGCGCAGATGGAAGCAAAAGAATTCCATCCAGGCAAAGCAGACTTCTTTGCACCTTTGAACATGACCAACCCCAGAGCCAAATGTGAAAACCTCGGCGGTTTAACGCTTGGAGCATCCAGTGAGCCCGCAGCCGTCCTTTGAAACGGCAGCCATGGGAGCACTTTACCGAATCAAGACGTGCTTCGAGCCTCCCAGATGGCGAAGTCGGACAATGCCTAGCTTGCACATGGCCCTTCACATATGGTAACATAAAAATGATTCAAAATGTTTCAGAAATGTCCTTCTTCCAAGACATTTGCCAATTCTGGGACTCAGTGCAGTGCCTTGCCGATTTTTTTTCCACTTGATTTATCTCAGTTGTGAGCCGTGCTTGTGGAGAGGCCTTGTCGATTTGTTGCTTGTGGGAACAATTGAACGGCCAACAGAAAAATTGTCTCGCTCCACTGCTGCGCTCATATAATCAACATGCCACCACCGACGTCTCCCTTTGGAAGTTGCTGACGTTGGGGGGCTGTTGACGCATGGGCGTGCCCAAACAAAAGGGTACAATGTAGGTAAAACAATAATAAACCACCCCGTTTTTTGATGGTTGATACTAGATACCACCCATTTATGGTGATTATTTGAGGGATGGTTTATTATTGTTTTACCGTCACTATACCCTTTCCCAACTACGGGCAAGTTTGATCAATTGATCCAAGAATTGTGGATTCCTTTGGGGGCTGGGGGCGCGCCCATGTCTTTTGCATACCTTCCTTGCTTTCAAACTCTCATGGTGGGTTTTCCAATGAACATTGTCCAGTCAGCATGCTATCAATATTATATAATTACTTATATACGCATTTTGGTTTCTTTCTCGTGTGACCATGGCCAGATATTGCGAGTGATCTGAAGGCATG